GCTTGGGGATTTTAAGGGGGGTGGACTTTAACTCCCAGAACCCCCAACTGAAAGTTGTAAAGTCTACACTTAACCTTGCAAAGTTTTGGAGGGGGGGGGAAATTAGGGCAGTGGTGGCGAACCTATGGCACGGGTGCCAGAGGCGGCATTCAGAGCCCTCTCTGTGGGCACGCGCGCCGTCGCCCCAGTCCTAGGCCTTCAGCTGGGTTTTATAAAACCTTTTCGCTTTAGGCTTCCGCCGCCGTGTGCAAAAAAAAAAAAGGTTCAATCAATCAGTCAATTTCAACTTCTCAGGGGAAAAAAAAGATCTTGCAAAGTTGGAATTGATTGAACTTTTTAGTCCCACCCAGTCTGCTGTTACCACCGCAGCCACGCCCACCCAATGGGCCACACCCACCCAATGGGCCACACCCACCCGGCACCCGATGATGCATAAGTGGGTTTTGGGTTGCAGTTTGGGCACTCGGTCTCTAAAAGGTTCGCCATCATTGAATTAGGGCATAAGGATTTCCTGGCCAAAACTCCCCATTGAGTGCAGTGTTTGGCCGAATATTTTTCTGTAGTTTATCCAAGCCAAGTAGGAACTCAAGTTTTTCTTAGCTGTCTGGAAAAATGTGACTTGAATATAGCTCTTCAGATGGGGAAGTGGTTAGTTTAGAGGGAGGGGGGAAAATCAGGGATGGGAGGAAGCATCTTTCATACTTTGAAAGCCCTTCTGGTGTGGAACATTTTCCATCGAGGTAGCTTCACAATGTCCCCAGTCCAACTTCCAAGAACTGACCCTACAGCAATATATACAACCAGAAAAACAAGTTCTAATCAACTCTGGATCAAAGCATCCCGATTCGCCCATTTTATTATGACTGCCCACTTCAAGACTGGGAAGATTGCTTCGCGTAAGGGGAGCTGATGGACCAGTTGTGTGTCCGTAACATACGAAGGCACAAACCAGCCTTCAATTCTTTAAAAGAGCTGGATTTATACAGGCACTGAACCATATCAACTCTATCTGGGCTTAGCAGAGTTTATGGAAATATTTTGTTTACCATGAAGGCAGAAAAAGCTGCAACAATAACAAACTACAATATTATAGGTAGCCCTCAACTTACAGCTCATTTAGTCACTGCTCAAAATTACAATGGCGCTGAAAAAAGTGAGTTATGACCGTTTTTCACACTTTATGACCATTGCAGCATCAAAAATTCAGAGGCTTGGCAACTGACATGTACTTGACAGTTGCAGTATCCCGGGGTCATGTGATCCCCTTTTGCAACCTTCTGACAAGCAAAGTCAATGGGGAAGCCAGATTCACTTAACAATTGTGTTCTAACAACTGTAGTGATCCACTTAACAACTGTGGCAAGCAAGCTTGTGAAATGGGGCAAAACTCACTTAGCAAATGTCCCACTTAGCAACATAGATTTTGGGTTTAAATTATGGTCGTTAAGTCAAGGACTACCTGTATTAACAAAGATTCACAGAAGCAAAATTGAAAGCCGCAGCAGACTCGGCTACGAGTTAAAAAAGGCTCCGTTTCTCAAAAATGAGGTGCAGTCCATCCTAGGATCTCCCCCCCCCCCCCCGCCGCCAAACCCTGCATTTCACAAATAACACACAGCGATAGAGTGAGAAATATATTTGGAACACAAAATTATACATACACAAAATAAAAGCAAGGCTTGAGCTGAGGGGCTACCGATAGTCCTCAACTTAACAACCACAATTGGGATCACAATTCCTGTGGCTAAGCAGGTAGTTATGTGGCTTGCACCAGATTTTATGACCTTTTTTTTGGCCACCATTAAGTAAATTGCGTGGTTGTTAAGCAAATGCAGCTTCCCCCGTTGACTTTGCTTGTCGGAAGCAGCTGGGGTCATGTGACTCCAGGACGCTGCAGCCATCATAAATAAATACCGGGTTGTCAAGCGACCAAATTTTGATCACATGACTAGGAAGATGCTGCAATGGTTTTAACTGCAAGAACAGGTCAAGCGCCACGTCCTCCATTGCCGTTGCAACTGTGAAGTGACTAAAATCCATGGTTGTAAGTCAAGGACTACCCGTGGATGATTAACCATTTTGCAAATATTCAAATATTTCTCTTATTTTGCCCACTTCTTTTATCTCTTCGCCCATCAATCATGGCTTCCTTCAATTTATGAAAGGATCGGGTGATGGGAGAAGGTGCTGCCAGCCTCTTCGTTGGAAACTCATTATGCAAATGATCCAAAGGCTTCAATTAACTGGCCAAGAACAATTATTTGCTCTTTTCCTTCTACCAGTGAGGGAGACGATCACCTGGAACAGGTGAGAGGCAGTGACTCCTGCACCTCGTAAAAACTTTCTGCTCCAGCCATTTTACGGCAGAAATACCTTAACGTCGCTTCAATGAATTCTAATGTTTTATTTGCAGCGCTCGTAATTTAAAAAATAAAATAAAATACCGCCACCGTTTTTACAATTTCAAAGCTACACCTATTCTGCAGATAATAAAACGGGAAGCTGCCTTTATCGTACAACTAAAGATGTAAACGAGCGCTGGTTTGAACCCTTGCAAGTGACAGCAATTCACAGAGAAAAGCAACTGCATCCAGGGAGGGGGGGGGGTATCGTTTTAGATCACCACAATGGAGAACCACTTCGTAAAATGTTTATTGAGGATGGTAACACAGGAGAAATCATGCAACAGCTCAGTTAAAAAAAAAGGAAAGCCGGAGAACAGGACTCGATGCGGCCGATTCAGGAACAAGTCTACAAAAGGGACAATTGATCGTCCAAAAACTGGCACATCTAAAACTGCCGGAAAGCGAAACAAAGACGCTTTTTACTTGTAAAAGGATTCTGTATTAAAAAGTTGGGAGACGCCGTTAAAAATGGCCACTTAGGGATGGCTTCCACTGGACGATGATTCGCAGGGCTGGCGTGAACACTTCTGTCAATAGAAAACGGTTTAGAAACGCGCGCACGCACACACGCACACCCCTCCAAAAATTACAGAATAATTTTAGTCTGAACGGGGCGCATGCAAACAGGAATGACTGCCGCGAAACCGTTACATCGCGAGGGAGGGAAAAATGCATCGGGACCAGATAAGTTTTAACTTGTGTCTTTAGGAGGTGAATGGAAGTAGAGGAGAGTAATTTATTAACAGATGCTACGGAAGCATCTTTCGTGAAAAGGAAAAGAAAAAAAAACACAAAATAATTGGAGACATGGATGAAACCGTGACCCCTTTCCCACGAAGAGTTTTCCGACCACGGTAGTTTAAGATTTCAGCCGACATAAAACACTCAACGTTTGGAAGGCGAGGAGGGAACAGAGGAAAATAAATACAGTGGAATGAAATTTAAAATCAAACAGGGAAGAAGGGAGTTACCATCCTTCAATCAAGCCCAGGCCTGTGCGTGCCAAAATAATTCAGCAATTGACAGGACGGTTGCTTGAAAAATAAGTGTTTTGCGCTTATTCCTGATCCCCAAGGACCCCCCCGCCCCGCCCCCCAAAAAAACCTCAATGTTTTTTTGTTTTTTTTGGAACTACTCCAATTTGAAACTACACGCTGAATTAAAATCCACATGGTATTAAGTTTCTCTCGTGTAAAAAATCTTTATACATAGTAATAAAAAAAGAAGGGGGGGGAAAAGGCGAGATGCGTCAAACAGAAGTCAGCTGGGTCTCTGGTCCTACAGAGCCCCATTTGGGGAGGGGGACTCTCTGCAACAAGAGGGCAGGAGGCCATCTGTTCGAGCATCTTCAACTTCTTGACGGTCTCTACGCATCCAGGATGACCACCCTTGGCACTTTACGCTGGCAAACTCAGCTTCTTCCCTTTGAGTACTGAAAAAAAGGAAACAAGGTCAATTCACAGAGATATGTCAAGCCTTCCCCCATCCAAAGCATCGTTGCGGCTTGACTAGGACAACGACAGGAGAAATTCTCTTCTACAGATAGTCCTTGACTTATGACGGGAATTCTCTTAGTCCTTGATTTATGATGGGAATTCTCTTATAGTCCTTGATTTACGATGGGGATTTTCTTACAGACCTTGACTTATGATGGGGATTCTCTTATAGTCCTTGATTTATGATGGGAATTCTCTTATAGTCCTTGATTTATGATGGGGATTTTCTTACAGACCTTGACTTATGACGGGAATTCTCTTACAGTCCTTGATTTATGATGGGAATTCTCTTATAGTCCTTGATTTATGATGGGGATTTTCTTAGTCCTTGACTTAGGACAGGAATTCTCTTATAGTCCTTGACTTGTGACGGGGATTCTCTTATAGTCCTTGACTTATGACAGGGGGAATTCTCTTATAGTCCTTGATTTATGACGGGAATTCTCTTACAGTCCTTGACTTATGATGTGGATTCTCTTATAGTCCTTGACTTATGCAGGGAATTCTCTTACAGTCCTTGACTTATGACGGGAATTCTCTTACAGTCCTTGATTTATGATGGGAATTCTCTTATAGTCCTTGATTTATGATGGGGATTTTCTTACAGTCCTTGACTTATGATGGGAATTCTCTTATAGTCCTTGATTTATGACGGGAATTCTCTTATAGTCCTTGACTTATGACGGGGATTCTCTTATAGTCCTTGACTTATGACGGGGATTCTCTTATAGTCCTTGATTTATGACAGGAATTCTCTTATAGTCCTTGACTTATGATGGGGATTCTCTTACAGTCCTTCATTTATGACGGGAATTCTCTTAACAGTCCTTGACTTATGATGTGGATTCTCTTATAGTCCTTGACTTATGAAGGGAATTCTCTTACAGTCCTTGAATTAGGACGGGAATTTTCTTATACTAGTAGTCCTTGATTTATGATAGGGGAATGCTCTCACGCAGTTAGTCCTCAACCAACACCAGGGGAATTCTCTTATATAGATAGTCCTCAACTTACAACTGTATTATGCTTGGAATTATGGTCGCAAGCCAATTTGATCGGCGTGACTGACCCAATTTTGCAAAAAAATCTTTTGCGCCAATCATCAAGCAAGCGTTGCAATCCTTAAGTCAGCCCATTACTGGTTATTAAGCAAGGACACCTGTATTTTCCTTGCAAACAAAGGCCTTCACCGTAAGACAAGGAGAGGAGCCAGAAAGAAATGAAAGGGTATGTAGTGGATAATTGAATAAAAATTATGGGTCATCCTTGCTTAGCCACCACAAATTGAGTTCCACGAGCAATCGTGAAGCAGTCACTCTCTCAAAGCCTTGCTTATGAACCGGGATAGTGATGCTGGTATGAGGAGAGGCTGAACACCTGTGTTCCTGCTTGCAGGGTGGAAGAGACGCCCATCAAAAATCAAGTCTATTTTATTCCTCTGAATTTCTTCAGCTCTCCAAAACTGGCCAGCATCTCAATCCAAAATTTTGTTTGGGACTAAGGCCACATTTTGCCAGGCCAACACGTCTTAAGATGCTGAATTTCCTTCCCTTTTAAAATATTCCTGTGCCCGTGGATTATTAGTATATTTAACAGAATTAAATATGCAAGGGAATGGCACCCGCAGCCATCCAGCTGGGAGAACCGGTTCCATCACTACCATTTTTGTAGACAGGAAGGTATTCACTGCATCCTCCACATTTGCAAAGAGAGTAATTTTAGGCTTAGGTCCTTCCGAAAAATTATTGTACCCACTCCATCCCTTACTATAGGAAACATACAGGTACCTGAGACCAGATGTCAGATCATTTTGCGGCTGCAATTGATTTAAAAAATGCACTGAAGGAGACAGGATAGTAATTCAAATTACCTAGGGTGCTAAACTTAGGAAGACACGTATCTCCCAGTCTAATCCTAGTTCCTCCCAATCCTAACAGACCTGTAGGGTAACAAGTCAGAAGGAGAATGACAAGCCCAAAGTCATCAAAGGAAGCGTCGGCAAAGGTCCACCCATTTCCAAGCTACTTTAATCCAAACTTAGCATGCATTAAAAAAAAATGCATTGCATTAAAAATCCAGAGTAGCTTGCAGATGGTGTGTTTGCGTGCACACAAATAACCCAAACAGGGAAGGAAATTTGCTATTCAAACTATATTCTGACATCTCTCCCAACTGTTTCACGACCCTGAATTATTTATTTGTGGTTAATGTGGGCTTTTTTTTTAAAAAAAAAAATTGCAGTCCTCAAACAGTGTTTTGTCATAGAAGGACTATATTCCATAAAGCTGTAGAAAGAAATGGGAGAAGACGGGGGAGGGAGGGAGGGACCTCACAGTTTATTTCATTTCCTGAAAATGAGATTGAGGGAAGTCTGCACCAGTGTGTCAACTTTGGCAACTTTACAATGGGAGGACTTTAACTCCCAGAATCCTCCAGCCAGCTGAATTTGGGGAATTGAAGTCCACCCACCTTAAAGTTGAGAAATACCGGTCTACACCTTTTCTTGCTTTGATGCAAGTTCTAATGTCAGCCATATAAGGCAGTGGTGGCGAACCTATGGCACGGGTGCCAGAGGCGGCATTCAGAGCCTCCTCTGTGGGCACGCGCGCCGTCGCCCCAGTCCTAGGCCTTCAGCTGGGTTTTATAAAACCTTTTCGCTTTAGGCGTCCGCCGCCGTGTACAAAAAAAAAAAAAGGTTCAATCAATCAGTCAATTTCAACTTCTCACAGGGAAATAAAAGATCTTGCAAAGTTGGAATTGATTGATTGAACTTTTTAGTCCCACCCAGTCTGCCGTTACCACCGCAGCCACGCCCACCCAATGGGCCACACCCAGCCAATAGGCCACACCCACCCGGCACTCGACGATGCATAAGTGGGTTTTGGGTTGCAGTTTGGGCACTCAGTCTCTAAAAGGTTCGCCATCACTGATATAATGTATCAGAGGGACACCCTTTTCCATCATGGTGCCCTGTAGGTGAGCAGGACTATAATTCCCAGCGTCTGCAGCCACAGGGAATGATGGCAGCTGGCGTCCAACACAACCTCAAGATATCAAATTGAGGAAAGATGCTGCATTACATGTCGTAACGTAGTGCTTCTTAACCTTAGCAACTTTAAGATGAGTGGACTCATCTTGAAGTTGCCAAGGTTGAGAATAGGCTGTCATATTATGGGTTACGGTGCGCCTCTTACCTTTCGTAACATACAAATAGAAGAAGTCACAGTACAGAATGGTCTGGACCACCCCAGCCACCACGGCTATGAGGTCAAAGAACCCCTCAAAATAGTAGCGCCAAATCCAGTTGATGAGATACAAGGCACGGTAGAGGCCCAGGAAGAAGAGATAGTGAGTAGTGATGGTCTCGGCTTCCCCAGTTTTGCTGATCATAAAAAGTTGGGGAAGAATCGCCACGGACTCCAAGTAGATGGAGAAAGTCCACAAGATCTGAAACGACAAAACCCAGGTGTCCAAATCATGCGCTCCTCCAGAACTCCTCAAGGAGAGAAGCAACCTGGAACTAAGGAGAAACTTCCTGACAGAACAGTTAACCAGTGGAACAACCTGCCTCCAGAAGCGGTGAATGCTCCAACGCTGGAAGTTTTTAAGAAGAGACTGGACAGCCATTTGTCTGAAATGGTATAGGGTTTCCTGCCTTAGCAGGAGGTTGGACTAGATGACCTCCAAGGTCCCTTCCAACTATTATCATCATCATCATCATCTTGGCAACCTTAACACTTATGGAGTTCAATCATCATCATCATCATCATCATCTTGGCAACCTTAACACTTATGGAGTTCAATCATCATCATCATCATTTATTTATTTATTTATTTATTATTTGAATTTATATCCCGCCCTTCTCCTTGCGGACTCAGGGCGGCTGACAATCAATTAAAAACACCACTAACAATCACAAGTTAAAATTAATTAAAATGAAATATTTAAATTGTCTAATTAAAAAGTAATTAAAAACCCCTCTAAAAAACCCCTCTTAAAAATTATCCTAGGCCA